ATAATTTTCAGAATTCAGAACAACATTCTTTACATTCAAAGTTTAGAGAAACGAAAAGATCATCAATACCAATATACCTCTTAGTGTAATTATTGCACTTTCAGATGTCAAAACTTCAAAACAAATGAATAGGTCCTTATAGTTTATATACATCACAAACATAAAATAAAAAACTTTTACAAACACACCATTTGAAAGTACTAATGGTGGTAATACATTAAATAAAATTTGGTCATTAATATGCAAAGGGAAGCAACTATTAATTGCTTCATCGTCATTAAGTTTATTCAATGAATTTAATTTCATTTACAAACTAATATTACAAATTTCATTACACGTGACGAATTAAATAATTTTGATATTTTAGCCCAGTGAAAATCACATTAATAATACTATCCTATGCTTGTCATCATGACACATGATCTACTAACCCATCCGATGTCCATAGTTCCATTACAGTCTTGTTTTAAAGCAAATAACATGTTGGATGAAAAAAGAAATTGTATTATAGATAATGAATGTGCTAAGTGTATAGTTGTATTTTGAGATAAAAATTCTTAACAAATGCTAGAAGCAAAAGCATGAATGAAATGTTAGATAGTTGTCAATCATGGTGAATCTCTTCAAAAAGACATTAGTTACTATAAGTTGAAAAAGATGAAGAGAAACATTCAAGTCCAAAAAGTCTTTCTTGTGTTATGTCATGTTATGTTGAGGACTTGATTTAAATCACAAGCGTGAGATGCACGTTATGAGCTCAAAATGATCACTCAGTTAACCTGAACCTTAGAAACTAATGGTTAGACTAGATTTGATTATTAAGTGTACTTTGACTTTTTTGGGTAAGAAATTAAAGTTGGGGTGCAATACAAGGACTTCCTAGGAGGTCACCATCCTAGTACTACTCTCACCTAAGCACGCTTAATTTCAGAGTTCTAATGGGATCTAATGCATTAGTGCTAATATGATTACACCCAAGTGTTCTTAGACTTAAAAAATGTTTAATCTCACTTTAGAATCCTAAGGCAACAAATTTGGACCATTTAAATGAAATTATAAAAGGGTTTAAATTAAGTAGTCAACTACCCTTAACAACCAAGGTTTGTGTCTATGATAACACTATTCATGAGCCAACTATACATATTTATGAGTCAATTACCTTTAATAGCCGAGGTATATGTTGTCATTGTTCATGAATCGATGAATCAACTACCCTTTACAATCAAGAGTTGTCATATCAATTGACTAATAGATGAGATTGGTCAATTACCAAAAAAAAGATTTCCACCTACGAGAGTGATAGTCAACAACTAGAGTGTATCAATTAACTAGTAGTAAAAGGATTAATGGCTATTTCATATTCTGGCATAACTTCTGCTAGTTTGGAATTTGATTTAAAACCAAGAAAAATCAAACCCTTCCCAATATCTCTCTAATGATAAAATGCTCTCCACCTCTATAAAATGGTGATTTTGGATTAAAAGACCGAAAACTTGATTTATAAAAATTTTCTAATAGTGAAAGCATCATTATGAGCAAGACCCATTGAGAAAGAAGCATTCTCTTAGCTAAATCATTTTAAAGTAAAGAAAACTAAGTAGCCATATTGGCTTATATGTTTTTCATTGAGATTTGAGAATCTCTTTAAAGTGTTGTAGCTTATTAATATTGTACAATCTCTTGCTTGATTAGCTTAATTTGTATTTGTTACTATTAACCTTAAAAGGGGCATTTGTTTGTATCTATACTTGCATTGCTATCATCTTGATACTTGAAGTATTCAAACAATAGAACACCATTATTGGTAGGGATAGCATCAGGGAAGTTTATCCAAATACAATAAGCACCTCGAAAGTCCTGTCCCCCTTGGTCAAACTATTTGGGCAATATGAAATTCTAGATATGTGTATGCTTTATAAAGATTGGTTAAATACAAAAGATAGATGACTAGACCAAGGACATGGCACTTCAAGTGATGGATCATTAAAAGATGCAAAATCAAGGAGGCAGAAGTTAAAAAGATTGAAGACAATGTTTAGTAATTATACAATATTTTTAATATTATTGTAAATTTTTGTTTTCCGTTTTATTTGAAAGAAATTTGTGAATGTTATTTTAATCCTAATGTGAAATTCTATTTTTAATTTTAGTATACATTTTATTTAAATTTCATTTTTGTTCTTACATTTTTTCAATTTGTTGTCTATTGTGTCAAGTTTTCGCTTGTTAATTTTTCATTTTTTTACTTAACAAAAAAAAAGAAAAACGGGTTGACCAGCAAGCTATACCCACAAAACAAGAACCTACTAGGCTACGGATTCGAGCTCATGTGCGCTCCCCTCCCTGCAATGCCGACACAACACTACAATGTGGACAAACACCACAATGTAAAATGTGGGTTGTGCAGATCAACATAGCCCACATCACATTCTTTGTGCAGATTAAGTTGCTTTTTTTTCACGAAAACATAAGAGTTCCTTTTGGGAGTTTTTGGAAAAGATTAGGTTTTGTTTGTACAAATGATTTTTTATAAGATTTAATCTTTTCATTGTATTTAGCTTGGGTTTTTTTAAGTCCCTCTCCACAACCCCTCTTGGGCTTTATTCCTTTTGAATTATTAATAAAAGTTGCGATGGACACCCCTCCACCATGAATAAAGTTCAGGGCAGATACAAGCATAATAAAAGAAATCACAAGTTCCAAATATCATATAGTGAAGATAAGATATTAAGAGCAACAAAATAATAAATCAAGAAAATCAATGATAAGCATCTAGGAATTAGTACATAATCACACATGTTCAGTCATTACAACATTTGCTTCCCAATGATAACAAAGCTCCTAGTTGTCACTCCCCCGTCCCCTACTAAGATCCTAAACCAAAACTCACATGTTAGAATATCCTGATTGCTCTAGAATTGTAACATTAAGGCCATGTTTGGGAGTTCTAAAGTTAAAAATAAGTGCTTATTTGAATAAGAACTTCTTTGTATCTGGCACCTAACTTTTTCAAGTGTTTATTTTTTTTAAAATAAGCATTTATTTTATGTTGGGCGTTTGATAATCTATTTCTCTAATAAGCACTTAAATAAGAATTTGTGATAATTTTATCCTTCATTTTCTTTCAAATTCTCAAATGCTTTTATAAAAACACTTTTATGAAAGTATTTTTATGACAATACTTTTATGAAAGTACTTTTACAAAAGCACTTTTAACAAAGTACCCTTACAAAAGTACTTTTATGAAAGCATTTTTACAAAAATATTTTTGCAAAAATACTTTGTAAAAGCACTTTCATAAAAGTGCTTTCATAAAATACTTACATAAAAACGATTTCATAAAAATGCTTTCGTAAAAATTATTCCATAGAAGTGCTTCCATAAAAGTGTTTTTATAAAAGTTCTTACATACAAATACTATCTTAAAAGTACTTTTATAAAAGTGCTTTCGTAAAAATACTTTTATAAAAGTGCTTTTGTAAAAATGCTTTCATAAAAGTATTTTTATAAAATTCAACTATCAATAATTTTCTAAGTGATATTTTAAAAATCAACTAAGGATAACTTTGGAAGAAAAAAAATTGAATAAATGCTTATTACATAAGCACTAAAAAAAATATGGAAATTTGGACTTGAAAAAATAAGCCCTTATTTTTTAAAAAAAGCACTAGGGGAGGGGGGCCATGCATTGCAAAGGCTCGCTCATAAACTACTAGGCTCGAGCTCGATTCGAATTAAAGATTAAGCTCGATCTCTTTGATTGTAGGTCTCTCAAGCAACCGAGGTGCTGAGCCGAGATCTCCCTCAATTACCAAGGTGCCAAACTGAGGTCTCCCTCAATTGTTGAAGTGTCGAGCTGAAGTTTCCCTAGCAGGCGAGGTGTCAAGCTAAAGTCTCCCTTAGTTGACAAGGTGTCGAGCTGGGGTCTCCCTCAGTTGTCGAGGTGTTGAGCCAAGATCTCCCTCAATGACCGAGGTGCCAAGCTGAGGTCTACCTCAATAGTTGAGGTGCTGTCTAACTCAAGCTCAGTTCGAATAAGACTTGAGATTGAGCCAGAAGTTCAAGCTCAATTCGACTCGAACTCAACTACCTTTGATTATAGGTCCCCTAGCAGCCAAGACGCCAAGCTAAGGTTTCCCTCAGTTGGAGAAAGTGACTTTCTTGTAATTTATAAGGAGAGAGTGAGGTGGCAAGAGAAAGAAAGAGAAATGGCATTCTTGTAATTTATAAGAAAAAGAGAGAGTTGGTAGAGTGACATTTTTGTAATTCCCAAGAAAAAAGATAAAATACTATTAAATTCCATTTCCCTCATCCTGAAGCCTGTATACATTTCAGCTTAATATATTTATATAGATTTATTTCAAACTTATTTCCCAAATGCCAATAAGTGCTTAATGTCCCAAATAAACACTTATTTTAAATAAAAAATTATTTTTAATAACTCCCAAACATAACCTAAGAACCCCTTTTTCATTAAAAGTATTATGGGAGTCTCGGACCAAGCATGGCAATTCAACAACCCACTTTACCTAGTCATGCTAACTCCAACCAAATTCCCTTGATCTCAACAAACTATAAGTTGCGTTTGCAAACAAAAACCATGTTATTGCATTCACCACGAAGTGCAGTGTCAATTTAATTACTACCCTAACAGTCCCATATAAAGGCCTCGTAATTCAGCAACCTGAAATCAGTCCCACAATAATCATCCATCCATTCATATAGTAGCTAGTAAAATTAAATCTAGCTTCCGCCGAATGGAACAGCATTTAGGTAGTAGAAATACTTGACCTGATTCTACAATGATATATATCAAGAACATAATGTTTCATGTGCTAAAATGCACTTGATAGAAACACAATATACCATAGAGAAAAAATAAACATAATAAAATTATGGAATGGAACATTGCAAACATCCGTCATATAAGGTTATAAGCAATGCACATTTCATAGGATATCAGTGTGCTTACTACTTGGTATAACCAGGACACTGAGGTATAAAGGCAGTAGAAGAATGGAGCAAAAGTGGTTGGAGAGAATTGCAATCGAGTACGTATGGAAAGACATACATCCAGGTTAAAAAGTACATTGTCACTTCGAAAAATGACAAACTCAACAATCAATTAAGGCATTTGATTAACTAGACGTCTTGCAGAAAACTGTAAACAATGCTAGGGAGAGCAACTTGGGTTGGAAAGTCAAATTTGCTATGGACCCAAACCCTAACCCAAGGCAGATGTAGTTGAAATTCTTCCAAGTCAGGCAACCCAACTTGCAGGACGAATTTGAAGACACACTATTTTCAACCTAATATTAAGTATATGTTAGAATAGCAATGAAATTCTGAAGAACAAGATTAAAAAAAAACAGAGAATCCATAATGCCTTGAATAAGACACATTTTAGAAGAGAGAAGTGCCCTTTCCCTTCTTGTCTCCACCAATCTCAAAATGCTTGCACCTCTGCAGAAACCAGTAAAGGACAAGTATACAGCCAAACATTAGTCAAAGTGTAGAAAAGAAACACAACAAAAGAGGTTATAAAACAGCACAAGGGAACCTTCAGTACTATGGTTACTGTGAAATTCATTTGGTTTTAGAATCCACCATGGCATAAATGCATTCTTTTATGTTCATAGCATGTTCCAGAACAGACCAAGGCTGGTCCTATAAAGGAATATATCATGCCATTCCAGCCATGCCAAAGTATCGTCATTTGCAACGTGATACACCCCCAGTCCAAAGTGATGTCAATCATAGTTGCCAAGGGATTTAGGTGATACTGGGTGACATGGGGTTGCCTTGGCGACAAGAACTTTATAATATAAAGAACCAACTTTTCACTAGTTCCCTGGTTTTATATACGATTCAGCATGCATGTAATTGAATCCTCTTTATTAAGAACATTAAGGGGCTGTTTGGCGAGTCTTTTTAGGAAGATCTTCTGGCAGCTCTTTGACAGTCAAAAGACACATTGAGCTTTTGCATTAAGAATTTAAGATCTAGGCAGCCTAAAGCCCGTTTGGTTAAGGTGTGTCTTATGGCAAGAAGACAGATAGAAAAAAAATGCAAAAGCTCCATTTGGAGCTTCCCAAAAATCATTCGTTTTTGGGCTTCTCACGTCTTTTCAGCACGTTGGCTTTTGGCGGCTAGATCTACCACGAACCAAATGGGAAAAGACCAAATCACGGTCTGCCGGGCTTGTAAATAGCCGACAGATCGTGCGGAAAGACGCACCAAACAGAGCCTAAATTTCCTCTCAAAACGTAGGAAATCATGATTTCTAAAAGATAAAATCCTTTTAAATATATTAATTTCATTATTTTCAAAAATAATACTACTATAATAAATATTTAATAAAGCAATTTCATATCAATCAGCAATTAAAGAAGGCTATTAACTTTATATGATAAAATTTCAAGATGGAAACTAAAAATAGAAAAAAAGGATGGAATTGCAGTTTTATTTAATTGAAGAGAGAAAGAGAATAAAAAACAAAAAGAACCCCTATGTTTTCTTTCTGTTTCTCCCCTCAAAATGATCTTTTAAATTTCAATAGAAAAACATTAAAACAAAAGATAAATGGTGAACATGGTATTTATAGAACGTATTTTGACAAACACATTAATAAGATGCAGCAATAAGGCAACCGCGTTGTCATTTTTGCCACCTAAGTGAGCACTTAGTCACCTAGACCTAGGCGAGCGTGTAGTTATTATAAGTGAAGGCATTTGGGTGACGTGCCCAGCCAAGGGTGCCTAGGCAACACCTTGACAACTATGATGTCGACTCCCTACTTCTCCACAACTCTAAACCATACTCTCCATATGGCTGAATGTGATGGCTGTTCAGCAGGCTGTTGAAAATGTTCCACACCAGTAATAAATTCATGGGCCCCACTGTAAAAGGTGCAGGTCTCATGTATTTTATTACTGGTGTGGGACATTATCATTGGTTCCACAGCACACAGAACAGACATCGTGTTCAGCTAATCCTTGCTCTCCCATACGAGTCCCTAATCAAATTAGCCAAGTCAGCCTTGATGATCAGCCTACTTGGGACTTAAGCAATTAGAGTGAACAAAAAGGGTGAGATGGGGTCACCCTATCTCAACTGAGAAAAAAATCCCTACCAACTCCATTTATTAGAATCAAGAAATGTATTAAACTAATACGACATTTAATCCAATTCCTACATTTCTCCCCCAGACCAATCTTCTCTAACAAGCCAAGAAGAAAGGCCTAATCCACCACGTCATAAGCCTTTCTTAGATCTTACTTACAAATTAAACTTTTTACTCCCTTCTTCCTCTTGTTCTCCACACATTTGTTTACCACTAGGATTTGGTCCACGATTTGCCTCCCTTCCACAGAGGCTCCTTGAAATTGAGTGACTACCATAGGCAAGATAGTCTTCAACCTTCCTAGCAGGACTTTGGCAATGATTTTCTGCAGGCTACCCAAAAGGCTTAAAGGCCCAAAGTCCTTTGGGGTTTTAGTGTCTTTAATTTTAGGACCAAGGCTAGGAAAGTTGCATTTGCTCCAGGTGAGGTTTCCCCTTTTTCATGAAACTCAAGAAAAACATCCATCAAGAGAAGCCATCAAGACATAGGGCTTCATGAACCTCTTCCACACTAAAGTTTCTTTCTAACAGGATTGATTGAACTTCAATAACTATATCCCACTCCAAACTGCAATTATCAAAGCTTCGCCCTCCTGAGGTGGCAAAAATAGCTTTAAAGTGATGCACAAAAACTTTGACAATTTCCTCCTCTCTTTTTGCTATTTGTTGTCTTTAACTTGGAGTTGAAGTAAAATGAGTACTTACAAGGTTCAAAGTATTGATACATCTCTGTGTATCAGCAGAGATGTATCGGTACTTAAAACATGCATTTACTTTTTTTTTCAAATTTTGATTTTTATATGTATTTTTGTATATATTTTTCGTCTAAAAAAATGGGTTCCCAAAAACACCTGTAAACAGGTGTTTTGGGGAGCAAAAAATACAATACACCTAATACAGGGCATTGTATCAATACTTTGAACCTTGAGCACTTAGCCTACTCAGCAACTCGTTTGATGAGAATGCATATTGGGCTGACTGTAAAAGAAAAAGATCACATAGTTAAGGATCACAAAGGTACCCTGTCATGAGCAAAGTTGTAATCTAGTGATGCTTGTCTAGTCATGCACGCTAAGAACTCAACTACTTTTAAAGCTATGGTAGCTCAGAAATGGATAGATCACTGTCAGAGGCATTGACATATTAGCTTCAACACTAGGTGCTCTCTTTGAGTGTGTTCTAAGCTGTAATTTGTTTTCACTGGATTTAGCCTTTCTCATTTTGAATGGATATTAATTTTTAACAAAATTAAGTTTTATTAATGTTATTATCAGTATAACCTGTTGAGGAGAGAGAAGAACTTGACTGATATAAGCAGTGTTTTATGTGGAACATCTGTGCAGTCAGCAATCCACTTGCTTCTACATTGTAGCTTCTCTTCTTTGGTCCAGAATAGAATTATGGCTATTTTCGGTGTGGGAAACTTCTGCTCAGCCTCTCTGGAGGAGTTTAAAAAGGGGTGGTGACAGGAGGGTTTGACAAAAAGGCAATGTTGCATGGAGCATTAACCCAACAACCATTTTTTTTATCAATATTAACCCAATAACCATTTTCTGGGCTATTTGGCAAGAAAGAAATGAAAACAAAGATTTTTCCACAATCAGCAATGTTCGATTGATATAATGGTTCAGAAAATGGTTAGAAAGTTTTTATTGGATAAATTATACATAAAAACATAAATACTTTAAAGGAACTATGGTAACTTCTTTTATACATGAAAATCTTTTTGTACACAGTCAAGGGATGGCAGACTTGTAGGGTATGGGGAAGAATTTGTATTTCTTTCATTGTATAGCCTCTAGTTGTACAGGGATCTTATTTTGTTAAGAATGAAATTTCAATACTTTGCCTTTTCTTAAAAAATAATTTAAATTTGTATTTCTTTCATTGTATAGCCTCTAGTTGTACAGGGACCTTATTTTGTTAAGAATGAAATTTCAATACTTTGCCTTTTTTCAAAAAATAATGTTAAATTGGTAATTAGAAAAAAATAGCAATTACTAATCTTAGCCATTTATAGCTTTTTATTTATTTAAACAATTTTATTTTTCTACTACCTTTTATTGACCTCTATAAACTACTATTACATAAATTTGATTTATTTTTATTAAATTTATTGAAATTATAATTTTTATCCATATTAGTAATTAATTATTATTTTAATTATGTTTAGTTATTTATTTACTAATGTGTATTTTAATTACTTTTATAATGCTTTGTTAATATAAAATTCATTTTAAAATTTCTTTTGATTAGTTTTAAAATATGACTCATGAATAACATACACATTGCAACCAGATGCATTGATGCTTGATCAATGGTATCGGTATCGATTTACATTGTATATGTGGCACACACTAAAATATTCTATTAAGAACACACCACAGTGCAGAACACATCATTTGTTGTGGCTCATCCCAGAACACACCACACCACAAGCTACGGAATGCCTGGTGCATGGTTCTGTAACATACCATACTGGTGTGGTGTGTTCTGGGATGAACCACACCTTTTCCAACCACAGAAAAGAACAAGTCCTAAATTACAGACACTGACCTTGATTGCGTGCTGTGAGACATGTTTGCAACCCTGGCATTGCAGCCTTAGGACGATCTTCTTAGTGGTTTTTGCCTGGCCAGAGAACAGAGAAAGTTTAGCCTAAAAACTGTCTTCCACTATAACATGACATCAATGTTTAATAAACACCTCAATAAGATCATCTGCAACATTCAAAAATGCAATGGCAACAACCTCCTGTAAGACTTCTAAAAACAAATGCACATGCTTGGTTTGCATTTGGGTAGGATTAAAAGATCATGCTCAAGGATTACAACAATTGACATAGCACAGCATGGGGGACGCACTAATAGTCATCAGAAGAGCCCTCAGGCAGCCCTCCCTTGGCAAAGAAATTAGCTTTTTAGGATCATATTGAAACCGATCTCCAATCCTCAGCACTGAAACTGGCATTTCAGAAACATGTTTCTGGATAAAATGTCAAAGACTACTTTGGAGTGTATGTTCTACAAATAAAATTCAAGATCAATGTTAATCTAAGAAAATAAGCCTAAAACAGTACATGCATCTTTCTTGGCCAGTGTGGCTACTCAGAACTACAAAAAGTGATTTGAATAACTAAACTTCCTAGTTGCTAGTCGCTACTAACAAAATTCCTTAATTACCAGGAAAAAAGAGATGAAATAAATTACGTCTTATTGTTAGAAAACAAAACAAAATAGAAGGATTCCCAGTATTGTTCATTAAAGTCTCTACCTAAAGACTATAAAAGACAGAAATTTTGCATTGATGGGGTTGATGTGTTGACATTTTACCTTCTTGTGGAAGACAGGTTTGGTCTGTCCACCATAACCTGATTGTTTGCGATCATATCGACGTTTCCCCTGAGCAGATAAGCTATCTTTCCCCTTTTTGTATTGGGTTACCTTGTGAACAGTGTGCTTTCTGCACTCTTTGCTCTTGCAGTATGTTTTCTTAGTCTTTGGAACATTCACCTGAAAAATTTTTGAAGAGATTTTTATATCCAAACAAGAAAGATCTTTGAATATAGTCCGCTGTTAGCATTCCCAACCCCAAAATAATAAGAAATAACCAAGAAAAATGGGACCACAAGGATCACAGTCTACACCCAAAAAAAAATCATGATGAATCATAGCATCTATACATTTGAAACAAGCATGCAGAATTGCAGATCTCAAATAGGGGAGGATGCATTGTCCATTTCCTCTCATCTCCTGAGGAACCAAGTGAAAATAAGATAGCAGCACCAGCAACTGAGTTTTCATCTCACAATACCAGGAACATAACTGGAATGCCCTTGAAGGTTTGATTTGGAAGAGATAAAGGAAGCAAACTTTTCCATGGATAGATCTAAAGCATCGGGATCAGATGGGTTTACAATGACTTTTTACCAAGACTGTTCAGATATTCCTAAATACAACATTCAAAAGGTCTTTGATGAATTTTTTGAGAGAGGGATGATAAATCTGAGTCTAAATTCTACTTTTATTGCTTTGGTCTTAAAAAAGAGTGTTGCAAACCACCCAAGAGAGTTTAGACCTATTAGTTTGTTAAATAGCATATATAAAACATTGCCAAACTGTTGCCTAGATGGTTGAAAAAGGTGCTTCCTACTTGTATTTCCCCTAATCAAGATGCTTTTATCAAAGAAAGACAAATCATTGATCAAATCCTTCTAGCTAATGAAAGTGTTAAAATTTAAAGAGTAATGGAAGCCAAGGGGTGATATGCAAGTTATATTTGGAAAAGGCTTATGATATGGTTGATCGGTCCTTTTTGATGGAAGTCTTAGGTAATATCTCTCCTTGGAAGACAGTTCACGCCATTCTTCCATCATTCTTGCCTTTCATCAGGTATAAGCTATGGGAAGAAAGGAACAGAAGAGAGGAAGAATACTATGATGTACAAGGGCTGCTATCTGTTGGACAATATGGGAAGGAACAGAAGAATACTTTCTAAAAAGGAAATTCATGTAGCATCAACCATTGAAATTATCACAGTTAGGGTGGTTCATTGGGTAAAATCCTTAAGAACTAATTGAAGGTATTTCCTCAGATTATCTGTTCAAGAATTGGAAGGAAGTGTCTGATTCAGCTCCCCTCAATTCCATGGCTTGTATAATATGGTCATTGCTTGTTGTTGGTTTCACTAAATTAAATTTTGATGGAAGTAGTAAAGGTAACTCGAGCCCATTAGGGACAAGTGGTGTTTTCAGAAATGAGGAAGGTAAAATTATTGCTTTTTATTCAGGTTCCATTGGAGTGGGTGATTCACTTATAGTTGAGAGATTATGGCAGTGATGTAGGGGATTAAAAGAGCAAAGGAGTTGAATATTAAAAAGTTGATTGTTGAGGGAGATTCTAAACTTGTTATAGACTGGCTTCTAAAGGAGGAATATGAGATATGGAGATTTGCTATTTATAAAAAAAAAATGAAAATTTGCTAATGAAAAAGGATGTATAGATGGCTAATCAGAGGCACAGAAATAAGAATCCATGAGTAAATGGGACTGCTAATACATTTGTGGATACACTTGCAAAACAAAGGGTGAGAAGGGAAATTTCTTTCGAGCGTTGTTGTAATTGACTTCTGTCTAAGTGAGAGTTCAGAGTGTTTACCTCTCCCTATGTACCTTATTATATCTGTTTTATAATTTTAATGAATTTACCAGCTATTGATCAAAAGAAAACCTGGAATGTCTAATTGGACATCTTATATTCAGTTATGCCAGGTCTAGGTCCAAAGTTGCCCTAGTGCATCTCCAAACCCAGAGTAGGCTGGCACAAGCCTCGTAAAGAATTATTGAAATAGTGGCCTTTGGGAATGGAAGCAGGTGTATAGCCCAAGAGAGGCTGGAGGCTTCAACAATTCAATTCTACCTTTCTAGGTTATATGGCACTGGTTGTACAATGCCTCTCCCTATAGCATGTGGAGAAACATAACACAAGTTCGGTACAACCAACAACAACCTCAACTAGAGCCAAGGTACAAATCAGTAAGAAAATAAAAAATATAACAGTTTATAAGGTGCACAAGCTTCAAACTGGGGAAAGGAGATCAGGTTAGATTCTGGTTGGACTATTGGTGTGGACACAGGCTTCTAATCAAAGAGTTTCCAGCTTTATTTCTCATTACAGAAGGCAGGGAGGTGCTAGTGTCAGAACAGATTCAGTGGAACAGAAATTCTAGGGTTTGGTGTCGAACTTTCATGACGTAGATCTATGATTGAGAGATTGAAAACCTTCTTAGGCTTATCCCATTGCTGCAGATTTGTAGGTCTTCCCAAAATCAAAAGAATGTGAGAAGTTGGAGGTGGGCTAGAAATAGAGTGTTCTCAGTAAGATCTCTTTATAGTCAGCCTTTAATTTGATTACAGATCTCTACAACAACCAAAATGCAGTGCTTTAATAATTGGAAACCAATTTCTCAAACTTGCATATATATTCATTGGCCAAAGGTGGAGTAGGGATGTCAAAACCAAGACTCCCAATTTGAACAACCCTTCAAATCCTTTTAAAACCTTAACCAAACTCCAGAATCACAAAATCCTGAAAAAAAAATAAAAATTCTCAAAACTCTCAAATATCCTAAAAATCTAAGAAATTCTATCCTCAACCAAAACCCCACTTATTTCTCCCCAAATTCTAAGCGCCCCCCCCCCCCAAATCATCTAAAACCTTAATTCCCTAGAGGTAAACCAATCATCTTTAAAATCTAAATCCTCAAAAGAAAAAAAAATGATTTCCAGAATAACCTAACCAAATTGTCAAGATCCCCAAAATCATTCTAAAAACTGGCCTAAAAATCATTCTAAACCTCTCCCTAAACCAGCACCCCTTAAAGACCACCCATCCACCGCTGCCAAATTTTACAAAATATCTCTTAAGATTCCCCACAATTACAAAAGATTCTTTTGATGACCAAACCAATACCCCAAACCCAGAAACTCAAATAAAATCCCACCATCAGATTACTCATGTCTAAAAATACAGAGGTTAAATCTCAGATTAAAATTCTGTCATTTATCCCCCCAGTCAAAGAAGGTAAAGTTCCATAAAACAACTTTTATGGAAACTGGTATTTGCATTTGTATAAAAAGAGGGAGAGATTTCCTCAATGCCAAAAAAAATCCATCCTCACTGTACCGGTTCTAACAAATCCCAGACAATAGAGTTATCAGACTTGGCCACCCAAGTGACAAGGTATTGAATTTGGAAGAAAAGGATTATAGCATCTATATTGAGAATTTTCGTTTCCAAAACTCAAAGGCAGAATAAACACCCACTTAATAACAATATTATATTCCCCACCCACATAATGGAAAGACAATAAACAAAAAAAAAGATATATCCTAAGCTCTTGAATGATGGTTAACAATTCTACTTTGAAAGAATCGACAACGCCCATCTGATTTGAGTACGTGATTTTGATTTGTCCGCTACCACACCAAAGAACGCCAACCATCCTTGATCCCCACCAACCCCTTACACAAACAAAAGAATGCCTTTCACTGAGGTCCTAGGTTCTTTGGTATCAGTATTAACCCCACCCCCTCCTCAACCATCCTTTCTTCCCACCCCTCCTCGAGTGAGCACATATCAGTATAAATCCCTGGGGAGATGGTACCTGCTAAACCTCCCGGTGGAAGTGGTGAGATCACTTAAATCACCATAAAAAAAAAAAGAAAAAAAAACACTGAGACTAATCATTCATAAGCATACATTAGAAATCGAAAACAACCATGAAAATCATAACGAATCTGCACAGATCTCAAATAGACTACGGATCAACAAATCCAAGAACAAGCGTACATTAAAAATCGAAACCAATAATGACAAAAATTAAGAAGAACTTACCATGGCTGCAAGGTTTTCAGACACCCTCTTATTTTCCTCTCCGTCTCTCGGGAGAAACCAACTACGGCAACCAGTAGTGCAGATAATACACAAGGAATTAGGGTTCATCATTTTTTTAAAATGACATAAACACCCTTACTCTCACCAACATAACCTATTAACTCGGGTGCAACTTGGACGGGCCCAACCCGAGTCCGAACCCGATCCAGCCCGAAATTTTATACGGGCTGGGCTCAGGCCCAATAAATCAGTTTTTTTTTTTTTGGGCTGAGTTCGTACCTAATCCTTACGCTATGTTTGGTTTGAAGGAGAAAGTAGGGAAAGGAAGGGAAACATGTACAAACCCGGCCTGATCCTTGTATAGGCTTTCTTGCCTTTCCCTTCATTTCCCTACATTTTCCTTCAAACCAAACACAACCTTAGGTAGCGCAAACCCGGCCTGATCCAACCTGCCTGACTTGCACCCTTACTATTAACCGTGAAAATTTTGCCAAGCCTATGTCCAAAACCAACCTAATGTCTTTCCAAACCAAACCAGGCGAACCCTGGCCAGTGAAACAATGGTATTTGATAGGGTTGTCACTTGTCAATAGGTTTGGTGGGCAGTATTGCATTCTCACAGATCCTCTCTTCCTCATATGATATGTTCATCGAGTGATGCTATAAAATCCAACTAGAAATGGAATTGCTTTTATGTCTAATTTCAGTTCAACCATGTAGGTCAATTCATGATGTCATAAATAAAATTATATCTATATCTATAACACTATAAAAATGGAGTAATTCTTTCTTTTGAATTGGGTCTCTGAAATTGTAATTTAAATATTAGTTTTTAGTGTATTTCATGCACTTATTAAGGTGGCGTTTGATAACACTTTTTAGAATTAGGAAAAAAACTACGCTCAGACATTTTTAGATATGAATTTATAAGAAGCAGGCCAATGACTTAATGCGCTCAGACATTTTTCAGACCGCATTAAAAGATAAAAATGCCCATCCTCGATTTCCCCCACCCTCTCCTTTTACCTCACCTCTCTCTCTCTATCTATCTATCTCTCCCCCTTGTATTCTCGCCACCATCGTTGTAAAGAGTTACAGTGGCATTCGATTTCCCACACCTCTCTCTCTCTCTTCCTTTCATCACCATTGCAACTCTTAGTAGCGGCGTTTCCCTCTCCCTCCCTCCCTTTCTCTCTCTCTCTTCTCCTATATTCTCGCCACCACCACTATAAAGAGTTGTAGTAGCATTCAATTTCCCTCACCCTCTCCCTCTCTTTCCCCTTGTCTTCCTGCCACTGCTATTACAACTCTTAGCATTGAGATTTTCCTCTCCCTCCCTCCCTCCCTCTCTCTCTCTCTCTCTCTCTCTCCCTAGTCTTTCTGTGACCGTCGCTGCAACTCTCTACAATGGTGGTAGGGTCCCCTCTCCCTCTCTCTCTCTCTCTCCCTATCTTCCCACCACCACTGCTACAACTATCAGCAACGACGTTTGAATTTTATTCTTAATAATTTATTTTTAATTTATAAATTTATCCATATTTCCAATTTTATTCTTATTTTAATAAATTATTTTTTATAAATTTTATTTGTATTAGTTGTTAATTATTTGAACTTTTTAATTATTAAATAGTTTAATAGGTTTAATTTAATAATTTTATAATTATTAAATACTATTTTCATTGCTTCGTGGACCTTCTTACCATTTTTGTTATTATTTTAACTTTTAATATTTTGTTTTTAATTTATAAATTTATATATATTCAAATTTATTCTTATTTTAATAGTTTTTTAATTTTTTATAATTTATCATAATTTGTTCATATTTTTCAATGTTAAGAAATAGTACAAATTGAATTCAAAATTACCAAATAGTATGTTCTAGGGGTAAAATAGTCAAATTAAGGAATTTCAGATACCGAAGGTTTGATCCAACACAAACAACCTTCTCTGTTCAGAGCCTCTAAAAAGTCGAAAAGCATCTATGTTTCTTTTTAGATTTTAGACGCCATTAATATATTTTTAAATTTTCATATTTCAGATTTCAAATTTATCAAATGCCACCTAAGTTTCACATATAAAAATGTATTAAGCATTGATATTCTACTTTTTTTGGTGATGATGATTTGCAAAGCTTACTGGTTTGTATAACTAGGGTCTTTGCTTCATAACCCATTTACTGTTGGGTCATTAGGATTTCTCTTGAAATAATAATAATTAATAATATGGCCCAAATGACAACAATAAGAACATGTAGGCCTTGGCCTGGTTGAGGTTGAAACTTTCACAAATTGAGATTTATAGAAACTTGGTCATAACTTTGCACACTAGCTCCAAATCGAGCCCTATGTGTTGAAAAGTAAACTCAAAGAAATTTATGGATACATATAATATGCTATTTGAAAGTTTGGATTGGTCTAAGATGAAAAGAATCCAAATAAAGGTTTATGATTGGTTCAACTAAGTAGTCTAAAATTAGATGGACATTTAAGCTCATATTTGGGAACAAAGGGTAAGAAAATACATGGAGTTTCATTTTCCAAACGTTCTAGTGGGATGATTTGATTAAATCAATTTTGTTTTCAAGGACCAAAATATCCTTCCCTAAAGAAGCTATGACTAAAAGATCACGAGTTGGCTAAAGAACACCTAGAGAAAAATATGACAAAATGGGGTATCCATAGGCATACATATAATCGGGAACATATGACTAGTTTTGGGGTTAAACAGTTTAACCACCTAAGTCAATGAGATTTTTAAAATATTGCTATTGACATCCTCTCTCTCTCTTTCTCTCTCCCCATCTCTTTGTTTTTCTCTAGCTCTCTCTTAGTTACTAATTGTAGACTCTTGGTTATTATAGACCATCAACAAAGATGAAAAATATTTGTCGTGAAAGAATATCTTCCAAGTTGGTGACAGATAAGTGTAAACCAGCGAGACAAAGTTATATGTAATGACAAATTTAAAAGATTGTAGAAATTTCCATAAGCCAAAACCTAGTTTCTTGTAGTTTACAAACAACAATTGGGATCTAGATTCTCTTGAAGCTCTTGTTTTTTTATTTCTTCTAGACATGGTTCAATATATTCAATCAATTTGGATATTAAAGTTTGAACATATGGAGGATGATTTGGTCTAACAAACCAAAATAGATTTATCTTTACCGAGGAATTTCTAATAAGCGTAAGTAATTAGATCGTGTTGATTAAGTCCATGCCCATTGTACACATTGCCATCAATGGAGTGTTTGGATCACAGTAACATGGGCGATTTATCACTTGCAACATTGTAAAAAGTCCACCATGAAAGAATGGAAGATCCATCATATGGATGGCCGAACCATGCAGGGTGGTCGGGCGAAATTTAAAAAAAAATTTTTCTCCCATTTAGGAGTCGTATTCCCTAATTTAGAAAACTGCATATTCAAGGTTCATTTTTTAAACAAAACCGAATCAGATCTGAAACCAAAAGAGGGAAAGGGATATACCTGATACGGAATAACAGTAACTCCCAATGTAGGTGTTCACGCCCAAAGAGATCACCAAAACCCGCCTCCACTGAAGATGACAAAGCTTATGTCGAGGCAGGATCAACAAAGAGGTTATTCAACAAAACCCTAATTCTTCAGCAAGAATCAAGTAAGAGGTAGTGAGCATGACTTCAGATTGTTTCTTATAGCAAGAAACAATATCAAGAAGTGTTCTTGATTAGATCTAAGAGTGGAGATCAAACTGGGTAGGGGCGGCAAGAACTGGGGAAGAAAATTGCAGAAGAAGAATTCACCTACTGTGAAATTCGCCCCCTTATTTATAATCTTCTCTGGATTAGCTTCCTAATCCAATTAGGAAGGAGTTTCATGATCTAAATCTGATATTTAGATCTAGACTCTTCAGTAGATAAGACTTATCTTATCTTATAGGTGATCCTAATCAGATTATAAACCAGATTCGTCCCATTTAATTAAAACACTTAAACCTAGTTCGAAATGGGCTTTAGGCCCATTAAGTCATATAGCTCACTTTCCCTTTAAATGCTGGCTAGTTTGGTCTCTTTGTATGGTGTGGGAGCCTAGCATTGATCTCCACAAAAGCCATATGGGTTCGGCCCAGCCTCTGTTACAAAGCCTTGCCGAATTCACTACTAAAGGCAATGAACCCTTGAACCCATCAGTATGGGCTTCTAGCATGCCCAACATTTACACTAAATGGTCCCTGGGTCTAGCCACCTTATGAAGGTGCAAGGACTATGGACTTATGTGAGATTAACTCATCAAGTATAACCCTAAATGGTCTTACACTTAACCTCTCGGCTCATAATGATCAAACATTGCCCGACAAGAGAGGACATCTCCCTCGGTTGCAAGGTACAGTGTTGCACTCTCTACTCACATGGATCCCAGGAATTAAAACTTTTTGCAAACATTTTGTGAAACCATAATATATATGTATATCTCTATATAAATATATTTTGCAAAACAAATCTCAACAACTTTGAAATCAACTGCCGGTAGTTTAGATTTCCATCAGAGATAGTGCATTCCCTGATCATTCACTTTGTCCGACAAAGGGGCTGATCATGTCACTATGATCACCCACTCAGGTGAATTCTCAAACAGTCCCAACATACCAAGTTTTGACCCCCGCTAAGGATCTCACTGATTGGCATATAAAAAACAACTCAATCCAACACCTAGTGCAGTACCATAATCGAGTCTAGGGTTAGATGTAACTTTCCAGTTTTGCCCATCTGTCTCCAAGGTCCAGGGCATAACTAGAAAATGGTCAAGTTCAGAGTTTCAATCAAACTCACACTACACATGCTTTGGGTCTTACCCTGGCGGCTTAGACAAGCCACCCCAACCTTCTTGGCAGCACATTAATGTAAGCATTGGTAGGATATACCTCCTCAGGTTTATCCATTAGCTGTGAAGATTCTAAACTAACACAAGTCTCATAACTGTCTACTTTAAGGGTATTACACAAAAACATACCATAATAGCATGAATCAATTATGCATTTTATTCATTTACAATAAATGTCAATAAGTACATCAATCTAATTGAAGCTAAGGGCATAATTATTTAATAGCTCCCACTTGCACTTAAGTCCAATCGGGTACAAGCCAGA